CAGGTACATGTTGCCTATTTGCTGTTCCAACTAACTCTAAAAGAAACATTAAATATGTTCACCAAAATTACATGCAGTCGCATTCAAAAATAAAGCATATATTTTACTTCTTAAGCCAACTTGGCCAGAAATTAATGATAATTTGGAATGTATTGAAAATGTAAAGCATACTATCATTTCAGCCCACATCCGATACTTGTAGGCAGGCTGCGAGTCGCCGTGCATCTTCTGCAATTGCTCAATTTCATCTTGTATCTTGACTTCCTTTGAAGATCTTTGTTTTTATATAATGAGATCAATTGGTTATTTAACAAGAAATTAGCTATGTCATCTGCTTATTATATATTATCCCCAGGTGATTTTGCTAAATTATTATTATACTAACCCAATGGGACTGGCTTACAAGTCGACATTTTTGCCGCTATAGCAGCTTGAGTCATCAAAGTTGGATCCAACCACATTTGATAACCTGCACGAAAGTGTCCAAATGCTTTCTGCAGTTCATCATCCGAGCCAATAGAATATTTCTTATTCCTTTCCAGAACATAACCAAGTTGGCAAGCTCCTGCGTGTTTTACCTCGGCAAATGTTCTGCCAAATTCTTTCGCATCTGCCCAGTCCACCCTTTTTGAGCTTGACCTGCAGGGGGTAACACGTGTGCTCTGATGCGCACTTTTCGGACAAACAAATATGTAGTCATTGTATGTAATACACTGAATTTTGAGTCAAATTACGAAACATAAATGCGCATAAACCTCCACTAAGAAAAGTTATTACGATACAAGCATGGATTTTACTCTGGAACAAAAAAAATTTAAAGAAATGTGTCTCTCCGACTTGAAAGATTATCTACAAGCGAGAGGAGTTACAGTTACCGGGCATCTTAAACCTGCGTTAGTCGAAATCGCTGCGTCTGTTGAGAAAATGATGATTCCAATCGAGCCAAATTTCGAAAAGCCTACTGAACAAGATTTAAAAATAACCGTACATGGCATAGAAATTGATGATCCGTTGTCTGGGTCTCACAAATACGTAAACGATTTCATCGAGTCGCCACCATTTGGTTTATTCGACATATTTAACCACCTCATATACAACTCTACTGAGTATGATAAACAAGGTCTAGCTGCTTACAAAGCATTCGATGATTATCGCCTGTTTGAAGAGGGCTATGTAGAATCTTTGTTGACCGAGCCATTACCAAGTGCAGGGGTACATTTATATGTTGGCAAAGTTCGACCCAGCATGAAGAAAACCGATGATGTAGGAGGAAAGGCCTTTTACGACCTGTGGTTTATTTTAGATGGCAAAGGTGCAAATAGGGGCACTATTGAAAGCATGGTGTGCATGTAAAGGGGGTAGAGATGGAGGTTGTAAGCACATTTCAGCAGCGATGTATTCCCTTGAAAACCTTCTGAATACCCGCTCTACAGAAAGTGTTACCAGTGGGCCTTGCCAGTGGGTGAAAAGACCAATCTCATCAAGCAAACCTTGTGAAGTGAAAGATTTAAAAATTGGTAAATGTATTTCCCTGCCATTAAAGAAACAGACTAGGGCTAATGATAAAACTTCAGTTAAGCGTAAACAACTTTCCAAAAGGGCAAGAAAGTCACAATCGAGAATATATTAAATATGCAAAATATACTTTTTATGCAAATATAAAATAGAATAAAATTTATTACGTCCAACCTTTTCTCGGTTTGCGGTTGCCGGTATTGGATCGGGATTGTCTTGAGTTGGTCCGTTACTTCCAACAAAGTGAATTCCACAAATATAACTGTCTTTCTTACAAACGAAATGGTCGCCACGACAGCATGCATTTATCCAACGCTTTCTTTGTTCTTCTTCCTTTTTTAGCGACGGAAAACTGTAAAATTGTATGCTCTTGCCCTCTTTATTGAATAATCTTTCTTTTCTTTTCTTTCCTTTTCTTTTTTAAGCCTGCTTGGCAATCCAGTTCTGTAAATTAATTAAATTCACAAAAAAAATAATAAAAAATTAATTGATTACTGAGGGAGTAAATGATAATACATTATTTTTTATACTGACAGTGTATTCATTAGCAAGCTATGACATATATAATGCATTAATGTTTTATTTCATCTCTATAAACTAAATATAGTATATGTATAAAATATTCATACATTTATTTGTATGAATATATGCATATCATAAACATGCATTTATATGTTTGGCAGTAACATGAATATTTATGACCTGAATTGGCTTACACAAACCTTCACTTGCTTTTCTGTTAAACTAGTTTCTGCCGACGCAGCAGCAATCTGGCTTTCAAACTTCTTCCCGACACCAACCATACTGTTATTAGAATAAGTTAAAAGAGTTGCTTTTTGATTTTCGGTTTGTTGGTTTAAAATGTGCACCAAAATCAGTTGAATAATTCTAAAGTAAAGATCTGTGTTTATAAGAACAACTTTGTAACTGCAGCCACAGTTAATAGAATATACATGGTTTGGAGACTACATAAAAGTACAATAGAACTCATTATCTATGTCGGGGAACATTTATGCAAAAAGTTGTTCCTTATTTGTCAGTGTCTATTGTATTTTGAACAACTAAACCAATAGTAAGGTCTGAATTAACATGTTGTTCAAGTCACGGTTGAGGAGCCAAGCCAAGCAATTGCTATTGCTATTGACAATAGACATGTGACGGATAAGGAACCATTTTTTGCATAAACCTTAACAATAACATAGATAATGAGTTGTATTGTACTTCTATCTAGTTTCCAAACCATGTATATTCTAATAACTGTGCTCCAGCAGATGAAGATGTAAGGAGAATTGTAACTTAAGCGTACTTGGTAAATACTGTATTGATTATTGAAATAACTAATTTCCATGTCTTTTTCATAAAAAATAATCACAGGATGAAAGATCTCGATTATTCGTAATATTTGTGCCATTCATTAACAAAAATATGCGCACGAGAAGCACGTGGAGTACTTAGCGTGTTTACAGTGTACGTATTTCTGATACTGTTGGCATGCAAGCGACAAGATTGGCCGGGATTTGTCACCTGCCTACTATAACATCTGCTGCCTGAAACTAATCTCATAGTTATTATTATAGATAGATTCTGGCGAATTGCCTGTCCCTGAATGGTGCTTGAAGATGAGGTCTTTGAGGGTAGGCAGGGTCACCATAAATACAAAATGCATCTCCTTCAGGAGAAAAGCTGTAATTTTCTATTTCTGTTATCAGGTCAGATTCCGTAAACATGCCACTGTCATGTTTCTTTCTTTCATAGGGCCCTGACAAATTTGCAATTAAACTGTTCGGGATTACCACTGATTGAAATTTAATTGAATGGACTTTTTTGTGGCCGATGTACAAATATCTCTGCTGTTGGCCAGGTCTGCAAACTGGTCTCACTGTTCCATCCACAAAACCCCAGCGATTTTCCAAAGTAGAACCAGCTTGATGGATAACTTGTGCGTAGCTTGATAGTTTAATGGGGGATAAGAGTGGTTGCTCAAAGCTGCTAAGACGATGACCGTGTTCTTGATAAATGTGATCCATGACATGTTTTGTTATGATACTGTACTGTGGTACAGGTCTTCCAAATCTGGGAATCATATCGCTATATCTAATTGGGTATGCAAACCGCTTTAGAATAATGCAAAGAGCTTCAATTCCGTCTACGACAAGCCTGTTATAACATCTTATTTTGTCGGGTATATCCAGTATTTCCTTAAGGTCATATATGTCACCCTTTAGAAAACAAAATTCTGCTTTGCATTCACTATCGCTCAGCTTGTCTAAATCAAAGCTGTCATACAGCCAGTAAAGAAAATCAGGATTTTTTTATTGGTTTATGTTGTAAAGAAATAGGAATTCTTCATTGGTCATTAATTTTTTTTTCATGACAAAGCAGTAAACAATCTCTTATTACTCTTAATTTTGGCATTTTGAATGAATTTTAAAATTTAAAAACGAAGGAACAAAATTCAAGAAGTTAACGTCTACTTTCCCTGCGTAACACTAAATTCAAAGACTGCGGAAAATACAACACGACCATGATGTAATTGACGACAGCGTCAAACAATGAAGTTCTGCTTGCGTAAGCACTCTATTGTTTGTCCTACAGCAGTTTTTTGCAGCAAGTTCGCATGATGATCCACAAGGATGTGGATTTTTACGTTTTGACCATGCTTACAGGTTGTCCAGCGTTTTTTTTTTGAAGTACCCATACAAAAAGAAGAATTTCGTGACGATCTCTTGACTTGCAGGTATTAATTTCTACCATTCTGGGCACAAGGTATGTGGATAGAAATGAATCCATGATGGACACTAGAGGGGGAGTGCTCGCCCCACAATAACTTTAAAAAGGAAATTTTGAAGGAGTTTGATTTCAAAAAGAGGAAACACAGGGAAGTTTTTACTTTAAAAGTGAAAGCACTGCATACAAATTGTCAAAAAGCCGGAAGTGTGGTGGGCCCAGCTAGTTTCGACCCTGTGTCTGCCACTATGAAAATGAAGTATCTAATAATACAGACATCATTCAGCTTTTAAAAGGTAAACTGACAGTCCTATAGTGACCATAGTTAATGATAAATCATGCGAAAAGAAAATCAATATACATGAAGTACAGAGTTATGTATATTGATATTAAATTAACTTTAATATGTAATTGCAAACGTTATTGATTGAGTTTTAAAAAATTACCATGGCATAGTTTTTAAAGTGCATATGTCAAAATTACCATTTTTTCCCCAAAAATCGGCCGTGTCGAGACAATTCGAATGATATATACCTTTTTTAAAACGGATAAATACTTCCAGATTTATTTTACCTCAAACATGTCAAAAAATAGGGTTTTTTGAAACCGGGCCGGGAGAAAAGAGTCTGAGTACGAACAGCAGGCGATGACGTCAAATCGGGAACCTCATATTTCACACACATGTTGTTCCGCTTGTTTTTGAACTACGCCGAATGAGGAAGGCTACAACAAATCTGTAAATTCTGTTGTTTTTGGACATGTCTGCTTCTGAATCTTACTCAGACGACAATTCGACATCATATGACTCAGATTCGGATGTAGTTGAGGACTATGAGCTCGAAGTGGAAGAATTTGACTCGCCTTCAGAGCAAGACGAAGGGCTGTCAACCTCGCCGTCAACTCAAGGCCAAGCAGACATGCCAGACAACCCTATCAATAGCGTTGGGGCAGTGGCTGTTGCATACGAGAATGAGCCTATAGCGGATGATGATTGGGTCGAGAAGTACGAAGAAGAAAGAGAGACTGATAGGATTCGATTTGAAACCCTCGAGGAACGTTTAAACGGGACAATTCCAACAAGTGACTGGTAAGCCTAATTTTACAATTCGATATGTAATTTTGCTACACACGTCGACAGGATTAATTACGTAAATTAAGTATTTTTATTTTGTTTTAAATATTCATTTAGGTGCAAGTGTAACAACTGTGACACAAGTTTGCTGCAGAATGTGTATGAGGCTCAGTGTTGCCAGGAAATAGACAGATGCACCAAGGCACTGTGTTCAGATGAAGTGCTCCAAGATGTCGAAACACCACCTACTTGTGTGTTACATCACCCAGGATTTCGAATTAATTGCCTGGAGAAATGGTCCTTAAGAATGGCTGCACCAAAATACAAAACTAAAAGTCGTAGAAGATATCGCCAACAAGGATCAGAAGAAACGTGAGTTTAATTTGTTTACTTTCAGTTAAAAGCCCTCGTCATCATGCAGTCAGCTCAATATGGCTAACTAAAATCATGTATGTGTTTTACATGTAGCTACACTTTAATTCTGTGAGAAATTATATTTGTTTTTTTATATTTGCACATATATATGAGTATTATGTGGCATGGCAAAGTTATGTTTGTCTTTGAGTTTACAGTGCACACATTTAATTTCAAAAATGCAACTTTTGAACTATTGTATAAAATCTATTCTAGTATGCTAATATAATTATTGTTATTTTTATATAGATACTTGCAGTCAATAGCATACAGAGAATTTTCTCAGCTTGTTTATGGAATACTGGGTCGACTGCGAATACCCTTACCAGCTTGTGCATATAATGCAATTCGCAAAATTTCCAACACATGATGAAGCATTTACTAGATTTGATGAAGATATATCAGACTAATAAACAATTATCATGAATTAAAGTTCATTTTTTATTAAATTTTTTACTATGGAGTTATTTCTTGCTTTTCCATGACTCTGTTTGGGAGGGGAGAATGGGGTGGAGGTGGCTTGACATTTTGTTATATGATCAAGAATGTCATGACCCACCTTGGGGTATAAATAATGCATGGCCCCAAAGAGACAAAAGGGGACAGATACTGCAATATGTTTGAAGTTTGTAATATTTATTTAAAATGATTAGTTTGAGGTCTGTTTGTTCCTTGGGCAATCTAAAACATTTTTATGACCTTTCATGGGCTGGTGGCACAAACTGCAATGAGGTTTTGGCCTTTGAGTTGGTTTTGTTGTGGTTGCCTCATCAACTTGCGATACTAAATAATTGAGAGACACATTAAATTAGAATAAAAATGATATAATTTTGTTTACTAATGATACAATACATATGTTGATTTATCACACCTGCTGCTGTTGGAGGGACTTCTTTCACAACCATAGCTCTCCTATCACTTCGCTTCTTGATGGCCTCATCTCGTGGTTGCTTATTCAGCATGACATTCATTGGTTCAGGGGTCATCTTCTTTAATTTATCATGTTCTTTCTTGAGGTTGCCTTCTCTTTGTGCTTCCAGGAAAGTTTCATAGATCTCTTGAACATAGCCTAAAACAATGATAAGAATACAATTATTTACCCTTTCATTGAATCCAATTTATCGGTTTATTATTAATATAAAATAGCTTATTTGTGAATGTCACAAAAACTGAGTCAATGTTATTTGGAACTGCTGCTAAATTGAAAAACGTAAATCGTTTCCAAATTCGAATGCATGGGCACATCATTCAACGTGTTTTTGAATTTAAATACCTAGGTATTATATTTGATGTGCATGTTGGTTGGAATGCTCATGTGAAATATGTTTTATGGGAAAAAGGATTGGGATGTTGGGACGTATCAGGAAAAATCTAACTGTGCACAGTGCGAATACAATTTATGTGTCGTTCATTCGACCATTTTTGGATTACTGCGATTCTGTGTATAACTGTTGTGGTGAAGTGAACAGCAATTCTCTTGAAAAGCTTCAAAGACGGGCTGCGCGAGTAGTTTGTAAATCGAATGACAGTGACAGTGCGATGGATTTTTTGAAGTGGGAAACTCTTTTAAACAGACGTGAACATCACATTTTTAATATAGTTAGTAAATGCATTGGTGGCAAATGCCCGCAAGTTTTTAGAAATTACTTTAATTTTAATAAGAATATATCTCAACGTGCAACAAGGCAAAGTGACCATCTTCATCTGCCTAGAGTCAGAACAGAAATTGCAAAAAGAAGTTTCTACTATAATGGTTGTATAATATATAATAAACTAAAACAATGCGATTGACTTTCTATTTTAGTCTAGTTTGTATTGAACATGAACTTAAATTATTATAGTATTCTCAGATTTTATAAATTTTTAAACTCTTGTATTATATTCATATGTATATATGTATTATCTTATTTGTATATCAGAGCTCCTATTGATAGCAGTGACTCTTGTCGCTGACAGGACTACTTTGTTTAAATAAAGGTTTACTACTATTATAAAATTATCTGAAATCTATACATCCAAAGCCCTAACAAACTGTTACAAAGCTTGTGAAGTACCAGATATACTGTTGTTCAGAATACCACTGATTTTTAAGGAGTAGCAAACTAATTACATCATGAATACCGTCATAAATGCCTAATGACATATGACCACAAGGCCCACAGACTTACAAAAGTTTGCAGCAACTTTAACATCTCTGACAGTAGCTTCCCCATTTTTTAATTTTGGGTACACCACCACATGATGTTCTGAACCATGTGAATTCTTTACAACCTTTCTGTTAAGGTTATAGTTGAAGTGAATTGCTGCAATTATGTGCCTAAATAAAAAAAGTTTCCATGTTTATTAATTAGAAAGTACACTTGCTATATATGTAGGTACTCAGAAAGATTTGTTTGTATTGCATTATATGATTTAATTAGTACCTAATATACATGCCAGGATAGGTATAAGCAATCATTTTAGGAGCAAACTGGTTTAGCACCGA